GGACTTGTGAAAGCAGGCTGAATCTAACTTTTTGGACTGTCTCTGTAAATCAGAGTTGTATGAAAGGCAAACTTCCAAGAAACATGACAAACATTTGTTTTAAAAATTCTAACTAAATATGCAGATGTATTCAAATCTGTTAAATCGTCATGCCAAAGGTCTGGTGTGTCGGATTTATTGGCATCTAGCAGTATAGTTGCAGATTATAATTCCCTTGCTTCATCCTTCCTTTCCAAGTGTGTATAGGAGAAACTATAGTGGTCACAAAACACATGAAAATCTAAAGCCAGTATTTGGCTTGTCTGTTATGGCTACTATAGAAACATGACGGTTCAACATGGCAGCCTCCATGGAAGGCGACCCTTGGTGTCTGTACATAAAAGCAGGTCATTCTAAGGAAACAAAAACACAAAAAATCTTATTTTCAAGTGATTATACACATACCTATGATTATTATATTACATTTCTGTCAATATATCCTAAATGTTACACAATGCACCTTTAACTGTGTGTTTGGAAAAAGGTCTCTGGTGTTTGCTGCCGTTTCCTTGTCTGGATTTGACTCTTTTCAAGCAGCGTCTTCCAGCATGCCTCCATATCTCTATTAATCACATGTCAGTTCATGTGAACATGAGGCCGTCCATGTTCTTCTTTGCATGCAGCCACTTAAAAACAAAGCACCGGAAGACAGAGATTACACTCAACCAGTAGCCACAGACAATGGGGTATGTTTTATTTGCATGTGTTTGTATGAATACAAATGTAAGCGTGCATGTGTGTGTGTGTGTGTGTGTGTGTGTGTGTGTGTCTATGTAACAGTAGTGGAAGTAATCTGGCCAAACAATGACAGCTCCCCCTGCCCATCTGCCAGTGTGAGTAGGAGGAAGAAAGAGAAAATCTAAAACGCTACAAATTGAGTCATAAATGGTAAATATAACAGTGTGGAGAACATGCTGCGATCACAACCCACAGAACAGATTAATACTTGGAAGACATGTTATTACATTTGAAATATAGACACAATAAAACACTTAACAACTGTTTGCCTTAGGAAATGTATATTTCTCTCCCTGTTGAGAAGGATGTAAAGGCAAGACAGCAACCAAGACCTGTCATCATTCATATATCAATAATAGCCTTGAGTCAGTGTTTGATTGTCAGCGCTTCATGAAAAACAAGATTTAAATGGTGAAAATAGATATTTCTTTTCAGGCCACAGTTGTTTGATGGCCTTTCAACTTTGCGGTTTATAACAGTAGATTACAAGCTACTGTCCCCTTTTGAATCTTCCGTTGAACACAGAATGATGCGCAGTGGCAACAGATGTGATAAGAGCACAGTATGAACTCCTTCCCCTCTAAACACATATCCATGCATGCACGCACATAGTGAAGCTCCCCTCTTGCTACTGCAGTTCATCTCATATTAAGGTCAGTAGGGGTTAGGCTGGGTCTTAAACAGCCAATCCGTTGTGTTTTGTGTGAGTATATGATCGTGTGGGTGTGTGTATCAGCGCGTGTGTTTTGCTAAGAGAGCACTGGAGCAGAAAATGTGCTGTGGATTAACATGAACAGAACTGGCAACCGCAGCTTAAACAAAAGCTTGTATTCTAATAACCTCAAAGACACAGTGATGAGGCTACAAGCGAAAGACACAGTACATACAACAGTTAAGCATTTCTTAGAAAGAATAGAAATCTTTGTATGCACACAATACATGTGAGGAAAATCCTCTAAATTATGTCATTCATATCTTTATTTGTGCTTATTTGGGTTTTATATGAGTATTTTAGTTTAGGTCATGACGAATACCAAGGCCTATTTCAATGACCCTCTTTGGTGGGTTGCAGTCTCAGCCCAGCTGATCAATGTTCAGATGAAAGAAACACCGCGGCCATTTGGGTAATTGAGTCCCAGTACATGTTCCAGCTGACCTGGCAGGATTCCTTCGAAGAGTATGTCTAATAGATCTTCACTCACTCATTACAAGGTCTACACAAGCTAAAATATCTACTAAATTATCCGATTATGAGATTAATCAAAGTAAAATTCCAAAAAGATTCTTTTACAGCGATCTAGTCAGCTCAAAATTAAGGATGTCCCATTGTCCCGGGGGGAAATAAAATAGAACCTGGCCCTCTTAGCGACTTCATTTTTTTTTTAAATCCAAATTTAGCCACTTATTCAGACCATCAGGAAAAAGACGAGACATGTATTCAAACATATGATATATATAAGTATAAATATATAAATATATCATTCCAATGTATGCTGCTCAGAGTACTCGCAGTCCACAGCTCTTCTGCCAACAGAGCAGGGGTCTCCCCCTCTCCTCTTGCGCCATGTGCAGGCTGTCAGTCGGTGTGGCATGTGGGGCACGTTTGACCTTCCCTCATTCTTTCTCTCCCGATCTCTGGATTATGGTGTTCCTATAACTTGTAAATACATAAATAGTTTTATAGCTTATATGTACATAGTTCATTTGAGCTTGTAAATATTTAAATAGTTTATTGGTCTTCTACCATGGTGGACCAGAGAGTCAATAAAGTGAATATGAGTTACTCATAGTTATTCAACTATATTCATTATGTAGAATGAAAAAAAGGAACTTACATTTGGGACAATGGTTGTTAATGGTGGGACAGTTGAGGAAAGGAGTTTACTTTCCTGACTTGTTTCTAGTGTTGAAAAAGCATGTTCATATTCAGCATATTTTGGAATTTAGCAAGGCTTCAGCAAGGTAGTGCAGTGTGTGACTGTGTGAGGCTGGGGGTCATTTTGGTGCCCAGAACCATTCAGAAAATGCCTGGAACCCCTCGCAGGAATCTGTCCCCAAACAGAGTGAAACTGCTTGCCTACGAAGTCCTAACTCTTATTGAGTTATGGTGTGAAATTAAGCTCGGCAGATATATTAAGCCCCGCAGATGTTCAAATGTCCCCCCGTCTCTTTGTAGTGGGTCTTATTGGTTGTGGCGGTTATGAAACAAATTAAGAATGCCATGCAGCTGAAAAATACTTCAGGCTTATGAGTACTGAGGCCCAAAAGATTTGGCGATAAGGCCATTTAGGCTGATATGGGATTGGATACACTTGTTCCTTTCAGGATTTGAGGTTTGTGCAATTGTTCCTAGAGGTGTTAAGTGTCTAAATCAATATGAATTCTTTTATTCAATTACAGTGCATAAACTTAATAGGTGGCATGCATATGAGGCGTCTCGTAAATCCTTTTGATTGATCACTGAGATCAACCCATTTTTCAACTCAGTCAGTACTGAACTCACCCATGTGAACATTAGTATCACGTCATTGTACACTGACGAGTGTAAAGTATCTGCTGGGGGTGAATAGGAGTAAAAAACAAGCGAAACAGTTTAGAGTTAAAGATCAGTAATCTGTCTGTGAAATCCTGCCTTCTAAACATACATGTAAAATAGATTCTATTTTCTAGATTTATTTTTCTCTATTTCAAATTGGCTATATGGGATGTGGAGGATCCTTCTCTGCTCATGCCATCTGATTTACCTCAAACAAAGCAGCATTGTCCCTGTGTTAGTCACTCTGACACCGTCTGATTTAGGCGAAGTGAAACAAAACAGGCAAACAAAGAGCCTGATGTCTCTAATACATATTAATTCAGTACAGAACAAAGGGACAGATAAAGTGTAATTTTTCTCACATGCAAAAAGGCATTTACATTCAGATTCAGGCCCTATTGTTAACACATTACAGGACGTAATGTCCATAATGAAAATTCAAAAGATGTGTTTTTAAAAGAAGAATTCACATTTAGTTGGAGTGGTATCATTAAAGTCTGTGTCTACTAACCCAGGACCTTAGTCCATAAACTCCTGATGGAGAGAAAGGAAGTAGCCAACAGTGTGTTTCCCAGAGAAAAAAAGAACTTAACAAAACTAAACAACTTAAGGTCGACTCTCTTTATCTGTACAGCCGTGTTGGTTGGAGACTGAGAATTGTGTGACAAGGGCCTTTCCAGGAAAACAACATAATGATAAAAGAGAATGACTGATCATAAAGATGAGCCTGCAGAGGAGGCTTCCTTTGTGAAATGGTGTTTGTGACCCTGCATTAATCAGTCTATTTTCCCCTGTCTGCCTCAGTCTTTGCAGAATGATTGCATACATAATGTTGATTCATGAATATTTTATTTGAAAGTTCAGCTATGCTTAGGGCCAGCCCTGGTTTAAATCTAGCTCACGGTGGAACTCAGACATGATGGATAGCAAATTAAGAGAGATCTGTTCTCCTAATCTGGTCATTGAACGATGTCTGAACCTCAGGTAATGGGGCATTTGAATGTTGGTGGGCCTTTATGTTGTACTCTTAATATATGTGATATAGAATGCCTGGCTACACAAATCACAATTTTGAAAATATTTCCAAAAATCTTTAGAGGAAAAATGCTTATTCGTGTTCTTGCTGAGAGTTAGACGAGAAAATAGATTTTAGCCGGTTAGCTTAACACAAACTTTATATGTTGTTGTTTTAATCCCTACAAAAAATATTACATCAGTTGCACAATGAAAAATATTTTATAATGGCATATCTCCTTGCTCCATACTTGAATGTAATATTATTAATCATGTTAATGTGTGTCCCCTCTCTCACCTCTACAGGACCTGACTACATAAAGCAACAGTTAAAGGAGCCTGTGGAGATTAAAGAGGTCCCTGTTGAAAAGAAGGACAGGTCCCCAAAAGATTCTCCCCACTTTTACCGCAAAGGTACCACTCCCCCCCACTCCCCTGCAACCAGCCCTGTAGCCACGTCTCCCCCTTCACCTCACTCCAGTAAGAAGAAAGGTCAACTCGCCAACAGCACCAGCCGCAAAACCAGCAAAGAAGAAAAGCCTTCCCGCAAGACAAGCAAAGAAGAGAAGTCAAGTCATAAGAGCAGCAAGGATGAGCGGTCTAATAGAAAGCTGAGTAAAGAGGAGAGGCCGCCCGTCACTGATGGCCCTAAAGGTTCTCATGTGCATGCTGAGGCTCCACCTAAACCCGCTAAGATTCAGCAGTCTACGGAAGCATCTGCTCCTCCTCCACAGCCACCTGCAGTTCCAGTCAATGGCGAACTCCATACCGAGTACCACAGTTACTATGTCAAGGCCCCTACAAGGGCCCCTCCACCCCCGGACCCTGAGGAGGATGTAGAAGAAGAGCCCAGTGCCCTGGCCCTGGCACGTATGCCCCCACAACCCCCTAAATCCTATAGTACCCCCACTCCTAAGCCAGCCTCCATACGGGAGAGCAAGAGCGACCAGAAACTCAGGAAGCAGGATTCCCTAAAGCCAAAGAGCCTCGCAGACACAAAGAAAGCCAGTATGGAGATTGCAGAAAGCATGGAAGAAACAGTAAGTGCCAGTGTTAGGAAGGGAAAAGTGTTTTTTGAAGGAATAGTTATAATAGACATTTTGGGAAATGTCAGGGGCAAACAGCTAGCCTGGCTCTGTCCAAAGGTAACAGTGTCTGCCTATCAGCACCTCTGAAGCTAACTATATCTACTACTATACTATATATGAACTATATCTTGTTTGTTTAATCCATACATAATGTGAATTGTAAACACAACAAGCTGCATTTTACATTCTTCTTCTTACATTTCTTGGCATGGACCAGTAACATCCTGGAGTGTCCGCTTGTTGCCAGGCAACTCAGTTGCAAACGTGATATATCTTATTTATTTAGTCATATTAGGCATATTTTGTTACCTTAGCTGTTTCTCCGTTTCCAGTTTTTGTGCTAAGCTAAGCTAACCGGCTGCTGGCTGCAGCTTCATCTACCATACAAACATGAGAGTGGTAACAATTACAAGTACTTGAACTTTTTGGCAAGAAAGTGAATAAGCATTTTTCCCAAAATGTAGAGATATTCCTTTAATACTTTCTATTTCTATTCAAATGGTTCTTAGCAAACTTGCTTAGTGAAGTTTCAGTACAGATCATTTGATTGTTGTACAGATTATTATGTGATATCTGATCTTTATCATAATGTCATTTTTTGCAGGGTCCTAACTCAATCCTTGTTGCTATGGTAATGCTGTTGAATATTGGCCTTGCAATTATATTTGTCCATTTTCTGACATGATGATGCTGTTTCTCAGGTAAGTTCACTTATTTCCCTAGAAACCTTTATCATCAACAAAAATGACTAAGGAGCAGATGAATTTGTGTATTTCGAAAGATAAATCTGCACTTCTATTCATGTCTTGTGTGTCCTGGGTGCCGCAATGTGTGTCTGAAATGTGACAAGCAGCCAATTAAATCCAAACACACTGTTTTATGTTGCAGTGAAACCATGGCAACCGGTACAGTTGCATCGGCGGCCTTGAAAAATGAAAATGGCGCCAGTGAGACACGGGGGTGGCCGTAGGTGTTTAGGAATCAACATGACACCGAAGAGAATCAGGAGGAAGGCATCACTACCACCATCCTGTCATGGGCCTTCTTTAGGGCCAGCCCCGTGAATTAGCACTCCTTTGGCTTCTCTAAAAGCTGAGGTGAAATGTTGTGTCTAGTGAGATAAAAAAAAAAGTTTAAAAATGCAACCAAACATACACAGTCTGAAAAAAGAAGTAATTGAAACCCACACGTGTGCTGATCCAAGCACTGGTCTCTATAGCCCACTCCCACTGCCTTGGCAGAGATAGCGGTGGGCTGACGGACTTTGCTGGAAGAGTGTGGAGATGCACTTTTAGATGATGGGAGCAAACAGCTGCCTTTCTATTTTGCCATCTGACGTTTTGATGGGGAGATGTGAGCCCAGCGGCCAGGGGGGACAGTCGCAGCGGGAGCGTGCTCGGGTGTATGGAGCGTTTTCTGGGGTTCACACCACACTTGCAACAGGAAACTGGGCACGGCCGTTGCCAGCAGTCAGTGCTAGCACGGTCACTAGCCAGTCTTACTCTGTTTACCCAATCACCACAGCAGCTTTCTCAAGCTCCATCCATTGTAACCTAGGATACACTGCTTTGAAACACTCCCCGTGCATGGTACAGTTTTAACATTTTGTTTTTGTTTGTTTTATTGTAGCTTTTTTTGTTCATTGTTGTTCTCTGAATGTTGGTTACCTGCAGTCATATGCTTGTAGTTGAAAAGGAAAATTTCTCAAAATGAGTAAATCGATTTGTTTTCCCTTTTATTTTGAAATTTTACTCAGTTGTAATTTGACATTACACATTCATGTTACTGAACGTGCAATATGTTTTATTTTTTCAAAGGAAAGCTTATAGTATATTTTGCCAAAAAAGGGGGGGGGGGG